GAGACAGAGACGGGAAACGAGGGAGAAAAGGGAGAATAGAACCATTGATGTACAAGAAAAACATCACATTGATTGGTCGCCTCTTGCATGTCCCCAACTGGGGGCTGGTCCTCAACCCAGGCACGTGCCCTGACCAGGAATCGAATCGACAACCTGTTGGTATACAGGCCAGCACTCAATCCACTGAACCACACCAGCCAGGGCTGCTCATCACTTTTATTAGCCACCTACCAGAGGGCATCTCCAAGCCTGGGAAGGCTCCTCTCTTGGCCAGAACTTCCTGTTTTCATCGCATGGCTATTACAGTATCAGATGAGCCAGAGATCTGTCACAGAGTGTGTTGCTTTTTTAAAAAGATTTTATTTATGTATTTTTAGAGAGAGGGGAAGGGAGGGAAAAAGGGAGAAAAACATCAATGTGTAAGAGAAACATCAATTGGTTCCCTCTCACACATGCAGGCCCCCAACCCAGGCACATGCCTGACCAGGAATCAAACCAGCGACTTTTTGCTCTGCGGGACAACGCTCAACCGACAGCCACGCCAGTCAGAGCTGTCACAGGGCTTTAATGTGATTTTACTTCTGATCAAGTCTCACGCCCAAGCAACACCCAGACTGTAAAGGTTCTGCTACCAGCTCTAGCTTAAGGTAGAATCTTTGTTGGTTCAAAGACTTCTGGACCCTCAGGGCTGGTATAATGGAGGTGGACCTAGAAGGTGTCTGTCTTTCTGACCACTGCTTGGCTTTGTAAACTTAGGAGACTGTTTCAGAGAGGGGAAGAGTTCGGGTCACTTCACTCAGCTTTTCTAGGGGCAGAAATCATAGGCCTGTAGCAATACCCAATCTTAACTCTGCCCTCTTTCAGAACACTGAGGGGAAAGATCACTTCCACTCATGGTTACTGGTGTAGAAGGCAAGCCGGCATAACTCATGAAGACAGGAGCCTGTGCAGCAGGAAACGTGCAAGTGCGACATGACTGCTTCCATTGCTGTCACGAGCAGTTTATCACTTGGGAAACGGACATGTGACCCTGGGCTGCCATCCTTGAGAAATAACAAACACAGTGTATTGTTTCTATTTGCTTCCTCGGAGAAAGAAAAAGTTGTTCCATGGTGATGTTACAGAGTCCCTGGCCCCAACAGTCTCCTATAAACCAGCTAACATTCATGCATTCATTCACTCACTTATTCAATTTATACTGGGTACCTCCTATGTGCCAGGTGCTATGCCAGGCATTAATACAGAAGAGACACAATATAAACCCTCCGGGGGGTTATAACCTGATGGGAAAAGAAACATTAAATAACATACAAACAAACGTATGTAACGGAGAATGGGGTAGGTGGAGAAAGCTGTTAAAAAATTAGTACAGGCCCTGGCAGGATAGCTCAGTTGGTGAGAGCATCCTCCTGATACACCAAGGTTGCAGGTTCGATCTCCAGTCAGGGCACATACAAAAAGCAACCAATAAATGCATAAATAAAAAGAACAACAAATCGATGTTTCTTTTTCTTTCTTTCTCTCTCTCTCTCCGTCCCCCTTTCTCTCTAAAATCACTAAATAAAAAAGCAAACAAAATTAGTAGAGCTATACCAGTCTCTTGGGGGAATGTACGATTCATCTCTGGAAGGAAATATCTCTTTATGGTCCAGCTTACAAACATTAGTGGTGAAGAAGTCTTGCCTGAGAATTTAATCATGTCCCATAAGAGTTTGTGATTTCAAAACATTTTAAATTGTGCTCTGAGTTGATGAAGATGGAGCCCCAGAACAGTCTTTTTCTCTTTTTTACATGTGCACAGCTAAGCTATCAAAATGTAGGCCTGGTACCAAGTTCGGTGGAAGAGGAGCCCTAAACTGCTCAGTGCGAACAGAAAAGGAGGAATGAACAGGAATGATGAGGGCACTAAAGACCAGCGTGCAGGAGGGAACAGGAAAGTTACTGCTTAGTGGGTACAGAGTTTCCATTTCAGATGATGAAAACAGATAAAATATTGTGAACGTACCTAGCGCCACGGAACTGCACCCTTAATAGCAATTTTATGCTACATATATTTTATAATAAAAAGGAAAACAATTTTTAATAAAAATAAATAAATGAAAAGGAAGGGAATAGCAGTCTCAGGCCCAAGGCAGGCTCGATGGAGGTGAGGTAATTAAGCAGAGGAAGTGCTGGAGCGCTGGCCAGGGGGCTCGGTTAAGTGGAGCATTACCTCATATCCCAAAACTCTGTGGGTTCAAAACACACACCTAGGCTGCAGATTCAGTCCCTGGTTAGGGTGCATGCAGGAGGCAACTGATTGATGTTTCTCTCTCATGTTGCTGTTTCCCTCTCCCGCCCCCCCCGCTTAAAATCAATAAATATATCCTCTGGTGGGGATTAAAATAAAAAGTTGTGGTGGAAACCTGGCCCAGAGGTGCTGGGGCGACACTGGGAATGCACAGAAAGGGTGCAAGCCGTGAGGGTGAGGACATCCACTGCTAACTGGGCCCCGGGAACAATGGAGCCAGGGCCCTGTGGCCCCAGGGCAGGGTCTCAGTCTCTGCCATTCCCTGCACGTCAGTGTCCTCCATTGAACAGAGGCCCAGCCTGCTTAGCCCCAACTTCCCACAGCTTCCAGGGGAGCTGGTCTCACCCTCTTCCTCCAGGTCAATTTGAAAAATAGGCAGAAAGATTTCAGACCAGCCAAGCGTGGGCCCTTCAACAGAGGCCACAGGGGCCTGCCTGTTCTTGTAACAGCTCGGCCACTCCCATAGGACCACCGGCACGAATTGAGGGGAGGGGCCCAGGAGAGCAGACTATACAGGGCAGGGGTGTCCCTCTGGGAACCTGTGGGACATTTCCAGTGGTGCAGTTTGCCACATACACATCCTGAGGTCCCTTTAAGTCTTCAAGGTCAGAGAGTGATTTGTGGAGAAGGTGGACGCATCCCAATGGTAACAAGTGGTGAAAGGCACAGCACGCTTGGTGGCCTTGGCTGCCGACTTGGAAGGGCAAAACCCCAATCACAAGTGCTGCCTCCTAAGTGGGTAGGGGTGGGTCCTTCCTGGATGCCAAAAAGCAACTGACGCTTGGCAGGAGGGAGAGGGAGCTGATGCATGCATCCTGACAACCCAGGAAGAGGCTAAGAGAGTCACACTTCACAGGTAACAGGAAGATCATGAAAATAGATGTAAACTAAGGTTTTCCTCCAATGGAATCATTTTAAACCACCACTTAGGAGCTGCTGATTCAAGACTCCCTACCAGCAGTTTCATGCCCCACCCATATCCCTTAGGGTCTGACCACTGTTCAGGCAGGCGAAGCTCCACACAGCCCGAGAGCTTTTTCTGGGGACAGAAAGACCCAGGGAATTTCCCCTGGGACCGGCTCCATGGCCACCAACCAAAAGGAGTGGCAGACAAACATCAAGAGCCCCTTACCCCTCAGGTGAGGTCTTTGAGAGGTAACTGTTGTGCACGGGTCCCCAGAGGCACTAAGCTTCCTACCTGCCCTGGATAATGCACCTGTATGGGCTGCCTCCCCTTCCAGGGCTTCCTGGGATCACCTCCCACATGCACCTGACCCTTATCTCAGGCTGTTTCTCAGGGATCCACCAAAACACCACATTTTGGTAAAGGAATTAAGTGCTACCATCCAAAGAGGACACATAAGGAGGCAGAGGTGATGTGGCAGACAAGCGGTAGAGACCTCCCAAGAAGCCTCTTGGGGGCACCCTTGACCATGATGGCTCAGACACCCACCCAGCTCAGGGCCACACATAGACGACTTACTCACAGTAGCTGATATGTATTAATCAATTTCACAGAAATAGAGGGTGAAATTGTCACTGAGTTGTGCCACATTATTAATTTTTAAACTTCCATGAACTTTCTTGTATTCTCCCCAACATCTCCTCTCACACAGCAGGATGAACACATCATGAGGAAAGAGAAATTCCAAGGAGGCTGGCTAAGCCAAGAGCCAGGACCCAGAAAAGGAACCCAAGGACCACAATTAAGGAACTGGTTTGCACCAGAAAGATCCCAGATGGTGTCTGAAACCCCTCCCCAAGTGACCTTTGACAAACTTTCCTTCAATAGCATGCTAAAAATCATGCCTATGGATGGAGACTTAACATTAAAATGAGACAAGCGGCCCCGGCTGGTGTGGCTCAATGGGTTGAGCACCAGCCTGCAAACTGAAAGGTCACAGGTTTGATTCCTGGTCAAGGCACACGCCTGAATTGCAGGCCAGTTCGCTAGCTGGGGGCATGCAAGAGGTAACCGATGGATGTTTCTCTCCCTCTCTTTCTCCCTCCCTTCCTCTCTCTGAAAATTAAATAAAGAAATAAAATCTAAAATGAGATATGCACCCTGACTGGCGTGGCTCAGTGGTTGGGCATCGTTCTGCAGAATAAAATGTCACTGGTTTGATTCGAGGTTGGGGCACGTGCCTGAATTGTGGGTTTGGTCCTTTCTGGGTGCACATGGGAAGCACCTGATCAGTGTTTCTCTTCCTCTCTTTTTCCCTCCCTTCCCCTCTCTCTAAATATGAATAAATATTAGCCCTGGCTGGTGTGGCTCAGTGGTTGAGTGCTGGCCTGCGAATCAAAGATCTCTGGTTTGATTCCCAGTCAGGGCACATGCCTGGGTTGCGGGCCAGGTATCCAGTAGGGGGTGCACAAGAGGCAACCACATATTGATATCTCTCTCCCTCTCTTTCTCCCTTCCCTCCCCTCTCCAAAAAAATAAAATTCTTTAAAAAATATTTTAAAAAATAAAATGAGACATGAAATGTATGGCTAGGCATATTTTAAGCATGTTTGGGGACTACACATGCTACCTGGGGAATCTGAGAACCCTTCACCATCCCTAGGGAATCTCTGCCCCGAGCCTGCCTAACTCCCCACCAAACCCTTTAGGACTTTCCTAACTCCACAGAATTGAGGGAAAAAGTATCTTTTGGGCACAACTTGTTCTCCTCAATTCCTTCACCAAAGAATAAACACTCTGATCCGCTTTATCAAACAGTTTTGTTCTATTGGCGCCAAGCAACACTGAACAGAACAACAACGATTTTGGGTCCCTAACCCACAGGGATCAGTGACAACATCATAGTTGGTGCTTTTAATTCAAAGTGAGAAAGACAACATCATCCAGGCCAAAACTATTACACCCATCTGATGGCACCTTCTCTCCCTGCAGACAGAAAAGCCCATGATTATTTTGAGGCTGCCCAGTGGGCATGGGCTAGCCCAAAAAGATCTACAGAATCCCCTTGAACAACTGATATATTTGTGAACTGTGGTGGAGCTGAGTCTCAGACTCCTTTTGTCCTGTGATGACTGTTCATTTGGAAGAAAAAGGTGGGCCGAGTTCCAGGTAGCTGCTCCTCACCACCCCAGCACTAGGGGGCTGGTGGACTCCATGGGGCTGGCTGATGGGAATGGGAGAAAGTGAGGTCAGGAATGAGCGGGGCAAGCTCACTGTAGCAGTCTGCGTAAGTCATGTGGCAGCTCCAGGCACAGAATGTTCTGTGATTCCTCCCCTCCACCTTGTCCTGTCCACTTGTGCTGGGTACAGCAGCACATCAGAGCAGGGAGGAGGCTGGGAAGAAGGAGGATGCCTAGTTTTACCTGGCTGTGTGTCTAAACATCTTTGTCCTTCCTCCTTGCCCTCTTGGAAAGTCCCATTCAGTGAGGGGTCAGCGGGGATAGGCAGCACTGAATTCCTTCTCCAGACCCTGGACAAACTGGTCATTGAGGAAGAGCAGCTGCCCATGGGGCAGGAAGCGGGCCAGGATGCCCTCAATTCGGTCAGCCCGCAGCAGGAGATTGGAGCCAGGGACCAGCAGCCGGAGGTGGTCGAAGAGAAGGCGTGCCAGCAGCCGGAGTGTGCCCTCGGCCAGCAGCAGGTTCTCGTGGGCATCCAGCACCAGCACAAAGCCTAATGAGAGCACACCCAGCCACACCACAGTCCGAGGCTCCTGGAAAGGGTCCCCTGCCGCCAGGCGGAAGGCCCCTTGTGGGGCCTCGTGCAGGGGTACCGGCTCATCTGAGGACTGGGGCAGCAGGTCTGTGAGGGGCCTGCCAGACGCCTGCTGCTGTAGCCGGCACATGGACTCCACCTGCCTGAGGAGAGTGGGTGGGTTACCAACTTCTGTCAACCTCATGACCACCCCTGGAGCTGGAAGATGCCATTATCCCCATATCTCAGATGTAGAAACTGAGTCCCAGAAAGACTCAATGACCTGCCTGGGGCCCCAGAGAAGGAAGTGTAAACTGGAACAGAAATCCAGGCTCCAGCCTCCAGGCCCTGAATCATTTCGGTGTGGCCAAGAGAAGGAAGATTTTGAACGCAGCTCCTTGAGCTGGACAAGGGCACCTGGGGAAGATGATCCTGACCCACCTGCTTCACAGAGGCCTTCTCAACATAAAGAAAAGCAACCAGGGAGAAGTAGTGTCAAAGCCAGGTCCACCCTGGGCTGTCCACACTCTCCGCCCTCATCCCATCCTGCAACCCTTTCCAAATGAAAAAGAAAGACCTTTCACTTGGCCATGCAGACTTCTGAAAGCACTCTCTGAGCCCTCTTGAACTGTCCTCCAATTTGGGCCGTGCACAAGATGGTCTGAAAGGAGTCTGTCTGGTTTTCTGTGCCACTGGAGGGTGCAGAGGCCCAGAGAAACAAGTGGATGGCAGAAGTCTGACACAGGGCTGTCCCAGAGTGTCAATCCCCATCCAGAATGCACAGGGACCAGGAGATTCCGGCACCTGCTGACTCTGTCTGGGATGGGAAGGCCCAAGGCCAGCCACCCCATCTGGAACACTGTTTCCCAAACTGTACTCTGTGGATCCCAGGCTTTTGGAAGGCTCTGGACATAAAGAGGTCCCATGTAGCATATTCTCTCTCTTACTTACAGGTGGATAAAGCCTAGGCACACTGAAGGCCAAGAGAAGTCCTACACTGCAAAGCATGTCTAATCTGTACTGGTGTTTGCCTGCCCACAGTCAAATCCAGCTCTATTGCTTTCTAGCCACATAACCTTGTTCAGGTAAAGTTCCTTAAACTCTCTGTACCTCACTTTACTCCTCTGTAAGGTGGGGATAATAAGTGTACCTACTGTAAAAAACTATTACAAGGATTAAATGAGTTCATATAAATGAAAGGTTCAGAACATAAATGCTTCGCATATACTTTAGGCTCAACAAATGCTAACTAAAACAGTATTAATAGTATTATTTTCTTTAACCCTTTTCCACATAACATTTGTGAACAGCTGTAAAAGACTCTTTGGAAAATGCTACTCTAAAACTTCCTCTCTGACTCTGATTCCTCCTGTTTCTCTGTGCCCCCCAGAAATCCTGTCACAATCAGCAGGTGTTCAACGAGGGTATGGGGCGGGGCTGGGCTGGGCTGGGCAGTTACCTGGCCACGGCCAAAATCTGCTCCTTGCGGAGGAGTCTGTCCCTCTCAGCACCATGTGCTCGTGGGTCATCAGGCGAATTTTCAGCACCAAAGACGCAGGAGTAGAGTACCCGGCAAAGGCCTGTGTCCTCAGCCTGTGGGGCCCTCAAGGTGTGGATGAGAAAGGCGTAGACCATGGCTCCAGGGTGGGTGCTACAGGGAAGCCAGACACCTCAGTGAGATGAATGTGAAACCCTAACAGGGGAGGCAACCACAGAAAGGGTCTGTCTGGCCTGGCAAGGTCTGGAAGTATGTTTGGAGGCTGCTGTGGCTGGTCACTGGTCCTCCTCAACCACCCACAACACACGCCTAGCCTCTGAATAACAGTCTGGTCAGCACCACCTCTGCCCATAACAGTCTGGTAGTGAAGAAACCTGACAACCGCAAATTTAGACATACGAAACAGCTGGCCAGGAATCTTCAAAAGTATCAAAGTCCTGAGAGTCAAGGTAAGCTGGGGAGCTGCTCCACACTGGAGACTAAAGAGACCAGACCCCTGAAGGCAACACATACTCCGGGATGGGATCCCGGGCCAAGAAAAAAGGTAGTTTCAATGAAGGACGTTATTAGGACAACTGGAAGCATGTAAATGTGGACTACAAGTTAGATAATCTTTTGATCATTATTTCCTTATTTTGAGCACTGGGTAATGTCCTTGTTTTTAGAAAATACACACTGACACCTCCAAACGTAGTGGTAAAGGGACATCACATCTGCAACCAAGTTACCAAGGGGGATACGATAATTCTTTATTTTAAAAATTCTTCAAATTTTCTATAAGTAGGAGATCATTTCACAATAAAGAATAAATGATGATGATGATGATGATGGTAGTGGTGGTGGTGTCATCTGGTGGCTCAGTAGCCAGCCAGGGTTTATAGGTAGAGGGTACACAGTATGCAGATATCTGTAATTAAGGGCAAATAGACCGTCGGTTTAAAATGGTCAAACAGGAAAGTTCGCGAAGGCGCTTTCAGAACAGGAGCCCACTTATCTACACTGACCCTCCAGCCACAAGTAGAACGCGTGAAAGCCTTCACCAAGGAATCTCCGCTCCCCCTCCGCCCACAGAGAAATGGTAGCAGCAAAGACCCTTTACGTCACTGCTTCGCGCAACCCTGCAGCGCAGTGCATTTTGGGGGGTGTAGTTCCTTGCTCTAGTCGGTTAGGCCTAAGCGGGGCATCCTGCTCTGAGTATAGTATACTGCCCCTTCAGCCCCGGGCCGTTGTCTTCAAAGAGTCGCACTCACCCTTTCCTGTGCTCCCACAGACTTCTACTACCACGCGGCTTCGCTCGGCAGCTGGGGAAGCAATGGCGACTGCGTGGCCCCTACGAGCCTGCGCAGACGAGTCGCGGGCGCGAGCACGAGGGTGACGCGCGCTGGGTGCTCGGTGAGCCAGGAGGGGGCGTTGCAGGCGTTCCAGCTTCTGGACACTAGGCGCCGCTGACCTTCCTAATCCGATGAAAGACCCGCGGCTCCGAGGTTCGGGCGTTGCCTACGCCCGTCACTTCTGGACCGGGTCTGAATCAGACTAGCTCCAGCGACCGGCGACCGCGAGGGGGCGCAACTACTCGTCTCTAGGACCTTTGGGAAGAAGTCGGGTCGCCCGTCGACGTCAGAGAGCGGGTTCAGACTCACGCCGTCCCTCTGTGCGTTGTGCGACTCGCGGGACCTGAACGTGCTGGGAGGACTTCTCAAACTGGCCTATACGCGTGGGAATCATTAGACACATTCCCGGAAATTTTTACTTTGGAAGGAAATATGCACATTTGCTCCGTTTTGGAAGGTGGGATTCTGGGTTGTGGGTTTCTGCAGTGGTTTAATAGAAGGGCTGTGTTTGAAGTGGAACGTTATCAAACTCTGGTCCCAACCCTGTCATCAGCTGCGTGTCCCTGGCAAGTCAAACACTTCGTTGGGCCCCAGTGAAGCCCACAGGATTTAGTAGGCTGCCCAATTTTTCCTTTTAACACTCCCACCTTTAACAAGCTCCCTCCTTGTCATCAAAGGCATAGTGAAGAGGCTTGTATCTCAAACCTAAAAGGTACACAATCAGGTGCCAGCTTCCAGAGCCCTGCTGTGGGGTAATAGCCCCAACTGGGGGTTTGGCCCAGAGGTATTGATAGGGGGCTTAAGACTTGGAAAATTTTAGCTTAAGATAAATAACCATAAATCTATCAGGTAATGTGTATGTTAAGCTTTCCTTTCAGAAACTACAGATAAGGCCCATCCTGGCACCTAGGAAAAGCAGCTGACCTCCTGGGGCACTGGCTAGAGATTACCGCCTGGAGACATCTGTACCAGGAAGAAGCAGGCGACTACCCCTCCCCTTTGGAGACAGCTAACTGCCCAGGACAGGAATGTTGCAGCTGCTGAATCTCAAAGCCCTCACTGCACATTGTCCTTCCCCACCCCCCTTATAAAAATGTCTGTCCAGGAAAGAAAGGGGAAGGTGGCTTTGTTAGGGTATGAACCCACCATCTTCTTGGATCGCCTGCCATCTGAATAAAGCACCCAGAAAAGATTCAATCGCTGCCATTGCTTATTGGATTTGGTAGTGACAGGCAGCCCAAACGCTGGTGTCTTTTCCGGTTACAATATTGGGGGCTGGGCAAGGTCTGTCTTGAGACCCAGTGCCTGCCCTGGGTGGGTGTCCCCCTTGCCCACAAACATACATGCTCCTTTAATTCTTGGCTTGTGAACTATAGGAGCCTCCCCGGAGGTGTCCTAGCATTCTGTTCCTCAGAATGCCCACACTGGCTGTTTCTTCAGCCTAGAAGGCTCTTTCCTCCCCACTTTGCTCTTCAAAATGTGCTGAAAAACTTAAGGGAAGCCTTCCTGTTCAAACTGCCCATTAGCCTTCAGGGGTCCCCTTTGCACCCAGGGTCTGCCTATGGTAGTGATGTTTCTCATGGGGTCCAGCCTGGCTATGGCACACAGCTTCACTCCCCAAGGCCATCACAAGCCAGGCCTGGAGCCAACCCAAACATACTCCTTGATGACTGAAAATATGAAGGACAGGACAGGGCAGGGACCCTGGTACCAGGCATGCACTTTAGGCCCTTCTGGCAACAGGACCTGGTCAGGAGGGTCACAGAAGGGAGGCTAGAGGAGGTGGCCAGGGGCTGCCCGGGGCATGTGGGCATTTTGACTGGGTACAACACATAACTATATTTGTAGGTGGAGAGGTGGGCCTGGAAAGTGTGGGGCCTCAGCCATAAAGCTGGGGGTGATGTTGGCTCAGTTCCTTGTCCCTGGTCCCTATCGCTGTCAGCCAGGACTCATGTCTGTCAGCTGATTACAGCAGTGAGCTGGCAGAAGGCTTTGGTTGCTGGGGGCCACCTGGCATCTGGAACACAGTGTTCCGGCCTTTGTCCACTCCTCAGGCAGTGAGTCCAGTCCAAGTCCCAGGCCAGTGGGGGGCCGGCCTGTCTCAGGTACATGGAAGAAACAGCAATGAGAAGCTGACCTGAACCACTATGCTGAAAGGAGGGCGGGACTCAGATAGGGTGGTGTCCAGTTAAGTGGGGAAGACTCAGGTGCCATTCCAGGCTTTTTACAGCCCTCAGCCAGCTTACGTCCCTGAGAGCACAAACCATGTGCTGAGGACAGTGAGGCAGAAGGAGCCTGGGTCCCTGAGACACCACAGAGCCTTCTTGCTGAGGAAGAACACATGCTTTAATTTTGTTAAACTGCTTTGTGGGGTTTCTCTTATGTACAGCCCAACTCCTTCCCAAGTGAGGCAGTGTGTAAAGTGGGCAGGATGGAGCTTGGTGTGTAGTAGGCACTTGGTAAATCAATACATGTTGGCAACTATTAATCCAGAGGCAGAACAGGAAAGCAGAAGGAGTCTTCTGCTCTGGTGGCAGCCTAGAGACAGGGGATAAATGAACTGACCTTCCCTGTGCTTCCTGGGGTGATGAGACCTGCCCTGAAGACAAAATGGAACAGTCTGACTGTTCTGGGGGCAATGCGTGTGCATGTTCACGCGCGCGAGGCTTTTATGGTGGTTACCCTAGAGATTGTGGTGGGGCCAGGCCCACACTTACTATGTACTGATGTGGGTTTTGTGGGATATGGATAGAAGGGTGTGTGTGTGTGTATGAAAGAGAAAGACGGAAAGACAGACAGACAAAAGAAGGAAGAAAAGTAAAATTAAAGCACAAACATAATTAAAGTGGCTTGAAGAAAGAAGATGCTGTAGATGGCTGGATCTGAGGCCTGGCCCACCTGCCTAGATGGGACGGTGTGGGAAGGCACACCTTCCTGTCCTTTCCCGTCCCCTCTATCTGGCTCTGGGCAGAGCTGACTATAGCCTCACTGCCTGGCCCAGCTCGTCTCAGGGGTGTTCTGGGTTGGGCAGGTTGCCTACAGACTCTCACATGGACCCCTTCCCCACTCCCCAAACCCTCCTCTGCTCTCTGCCCGGGTCAGGGTAAGGCCTGTGCCACCGTGGCAGGCAGCCTGGTGCGTGCCTCTTCCAATCCCCCTTGGTACCCACCACCAGGATGCACTTGGGACTCAATTTGGAAAGCAGGTTCTGTTCCCTGACTACCCAAGCACAGCAGGGCCCTGAATCACTGATGGGCAGCCTGGCTTAGGAAGTTCTGCTGCTCCTCTCTTGGTCCTGAAAGACATCAGAAAAACATCAGAAACCCCCAAATCCCACTTAGACACCTCCAGAGACAAAGAGCTTACTCCCTCAGGGTAGCCCCATTGATTTTCAACAGCTGAAAACCCTTATCAATGATCTTCATAGACTCTGAGACTTCAGGCTACACCAGTAAGCTACCACCTACTTCTGGATTTTGGGAGGGCAATTAGGTGGAATCTGCCAGCCTCAGGCAGTGGATTTTTTTTTTTTATTGACTAGCTATCCAGCCATTTCTTGAAGATTAGAGCAGGAAACTAGGAGAGAGAGAAAGGAGCTGGTTTTTGAGAATATAAGCCAGCTGAGACTGAGTGGATATGGTTGCCCTAAATAAAGGGGACCAAAGTCAGACAAGCCTTCTCCTCACTTCCCTCCAGCTCCCTGAGCCAGCTCAGACATGACAATGCCCTGGGTGGGCAGCCTCCCATGGGCCACCCAGATGGCTTCCTTCTCTGCCGCCACCCAAAGCCCTATGCACAGCCTCCTGTAACTGGGACTTAGGCAGTAGGCAACCTGCCTCCTACATACAGCAGCTGAGTTTTTCTATTACCCATCACCCAGGGGATTTTCCATGTGTGCTCCCAACCCAGGAAGCTCCTTCCCCCAGTACTCCCCTCAAGGAGCCCCAGGACGCATGGACGCAGTCCTTGGCTGGGCCCCAGGAGGACTAGTCCATGTGTGATTCGCTCTTTCAAAGGGCCTTGCTTCCTGCAGGGCTGAGAGCCAGGAGGCCCCACGAGGCAGCTCAGGCTGGGACACGTGAGGCCCCTTCCCCTCCCGCTGCCCCAGGCCCTGCTGACTCAGAGCCTGGCAGCTGCTGTCATCACCCGCGCCTAGGGGTGTGCAAACCGTGCGGGCTGGGTGGGGCAGAGGCAACCCCAGCAGCAAGGCCTGATACCCACACCAACTCCCACGGGGGTTGGACGAGATTGCTTCTTACTTTCTGTCCCATAACCAACTGCCTTCTTGAAACAATAGACGGTGAATAACTTCACATCAAACAACATTCTCTCCAGCCTGACTTTCATGGCTGCAAAACAGCCACTTCTCCATCATTACACAACTTCCCTCTCCTGATTGTTTCCAGACCCCGCATGGCCGTGGACCTCCCTTGTCAAAACACCCTTCAGCACCAACAGTTTATTGCCTCTGGAAAGCACAGTGCCTGTGTGTTCAGTTCCAGGGATAAAGGCTTTTTAGAAATTGTAAGTTTTCTAGATAGTCGTGAGCTGTCGTCAGTGGGTGGATACAGGCCAGTGACATACAGCCACTTAACTCCAGAGTCGCTTTAACTTTGAAAGAATCTGATGGGGGACAATCTAGAGTAAGGCTAGTATTTCACTATAGGAGAGGCTGGGTCTGTGACACTCCAATCCCTGCTACTGCCTTGTCATGGCGTGCAGATGCAGCCTTGCCCACAAAGTTCTTAGCTATATACAGCAATTAAATTTTCTAGTTAGGAGAGAAAGATTAAAATTTATCATCCCTAGCTGGGTAGCTTGGTTGGTTGGAGCATCCTCCTGATAAGCCAAGATTGTGGGTTTAATCCCTGGTCAGGGCGCACACAAGAATCAACCAATGAAGGCATAAAAAATAGAACAACAAAGCAATATTTCTCTCTCTCTTTCTCTCCCTTCCTCTCTCTCTCTAAAATCAACAAATTAGAATTTTTAAAAATTTACTAATTTTGATGAGAATATGAAGCAACAGAACCCTTGGACACTGCTGGTAGGAAGTAAGTTGGTATAACAACCCTAGAGAACTGTGTGGAAAATACTAAAACCAAGTGTGCACACTCCAACCCAACAATTCCACTCCTGGGTACATTTGCGCAGTACCATTTGAAATAGTCCCAAATAATTCACGGAGGGCAGAATGAAAATGTTCTATATCTCCATAATGGTGAAGGTTACACAACTGTGTATATTTGTCAGAACTCATGCAACTGCACGCTCAAACTGGTGAATTTTACTGCATATAAATGATACCTTAATTTTTTTTATTTAAAACTCAGAAAAGAAAATTAGAATGAATAATTCCATGTAGGAGTATACAGGTTCTGGCACAAACAACACCCCTTTTTTATCACAAAATGTTTTATTACAAAATCATAAGCATGTAATTGTGTAACACAATAATATCACACTCAAGCACACCATGTAACATTATTAGGTGAAATGTTCAAATTAAAACTATAAATTCTTGCACCCATATTACTGCCCTACCAACTACACTGAAGCAGGCATTACTCCTGCCAGACCCTGTATTCATATAATGGAATATTATACAGGGGCAAACAAGAATAAACTCCTGCTAAAGAAAACATGGATGGATCCCAAAATTAGTGTGCTGAGTGAAAGAGTAAGACACAAAAGAGTAAGAGCTGTACGATTTCGTGTAAATGAAGGTCTAGGACGGGTGAAATTAATCTACTGTGAGAGTGGTCAGAATAGTGGTGACCTCAGAGTTCAGGTAACCGGGAGATACCGTGAGGAAACCTCCTGGCAGCCCTGGCTGGTGTGGCTCAGTGGATTGAGCACCGGCCTACAACCCACAGGGTCACTGGTCCAATTCCCAATCAGGGCACATGCCTGGGTTGCAGGCCAGATCCCCAGTGGGGGGCACGTGAGAGGCAACCACACATTGATGTTTCTCCCCCTCTCTTTCTCCCTCCCTCCCCCACCATCTAAAAATAAAATTAAAAAGAAAAGAAAAGAAACTTCCTGGGATTGGAGATACTCCTGTATCTTGAGTTGTGTGGTGGTTCTTCAGGTCTCTGCTCTATGTATGTGTGCCCTGGAGGAAATGTTGATTATTCATCTTAAAAAGAAAACATTATTTTTGAAACTTGTCATTACGAGTTACCTGGAGAGCAATTCAGATGATGTCCAGACACTACGCCTACCCACTGACCTGGCCAGGCCTGGCGCAGCCCAGATTCCCATCTGCATCCTCACGCGGCTCTTTAACCACGTGAGCTGGCTGCCACATGGCTCCTTGCAGGCTGGAATTCCTGCCCCACCCTGTCCCAAGCAAAACAACCTTTAAAACTGGCTGGCAGCCCAGGATTTAAACCACTTCCTTGTCTGATCCTCTTCCCTTTATGAACATCCAGAAAGTTACAGCTTCTTTTGCTGGTGGGTTGGGGAATGGGGCCACTTCTGCCTCATCCCCTGAACTTCCCAGAGTCAGTGGGTATGATGCCCTGAGTCCACCCCCTCCCCAGGCTCAGGCCCACACCTTCCTTGGGGTAGATGCCCATACCAGGGCCTTCTCAGGGAATGTTTGTTTCCTAGTTTGACCAAAGCCCCCTCCCTGCCCTCCTCCCTGTTTCTCCTGCAAAATGAGCTGAAAACTGACCCATGAGCTTAGGAGATAATATATAAACACGTGTGGAGCAGACCAAGTGCCCCATGGCTGCAGCTCTGACTCGAACGGTGGATTATGAGGCAGGCAGACATGGCTGTGCATGTCAGAACCTGGCACGAGGCCTGGGCATTGTTAGACACACAGCGCCCGTTGCTCCCTTCTCCCCGGAGTGATCTGATCCAGGCTGCTGGAGTGGGAAGAGGACACTCAGAGCAGAAGCCAGGCAGCTCAGCCCCACCCCCTTGGCTGCTCTGGGGCCAAGGCAGGAAGTGAGGAGTGGGAGTCCTGGACAGCGGGAATGCCTGCTCTGCTCAAATCTGCTGCGTGACCTGGGGCAAGTGAGTGCCCTCTCTGAGCATACAATTGCCTCCGTTTTCTGTAAAACCAGGTAGGGGGAGACTACCTGAGCAGGTACTCAGGGTGGGGCCGGCGCATCTCAGCACAAAGTGCGCAGAGCTCAGTCTCTTTTTCAGGCACCTCAACAGCTATTTCTCTTTCTGGGGCAAGCCCCCTCACCCAAATAAATGTTGGCCTTCGTGTCAGCTGCCTGCTTGGTGATAGAGGGGGATTCTGGAGTCTTCAGGACCCCAACCTCCCTGAGCAGAAGCCCCTCCCAAGGAGGGTCCCCTCCCAAGGACCCCCCACCTGTTGTGTCCTTGCAGGGGGCTCTGGACCAGGGATAAACACCAATCATTTAGGCATAAAAAACTTGGGGGCCAAGCAATGATCCTTTAGACTCAGCCTGGGAATCCAGAGTCCATTCTTGCTGCTAGAAATAGCCTCCATCTTCCCATCTAACTTTTGGAGTGAATAATCTACTTCAAAAGGTAGACGGACTTCCACGGAAAGTGGTAATGACCCCTGATATGTGTGCACTCTGTATCAGGCAGCAAAGGAGTCCCTGCAATCACAAACAGCTCACATTGTGTGTTTATGTGTGTGTCTGTGTTTAACAGCAGTGGTGTTCCCAGGATTTCCTGCGACACTGGGTTTGGGCCTGGAACTACTCCTCCCGGACTGGTCCTTTCCCACTCTCTGGTCTTGAGCCCAGCATCTCCTAGATGGTGGAAGCTCTGCTGGGTCTAGGGATCCTGAGAGGAAAGCCATTTCCCTGACCAGGGCAGGAAGGCTTTTGTGGGGAAGTGACCATTGAAATCGAGCCTTACAGGAGGAATAACAGATAAGGGAGAGCATTTCTGAGGGTAGCACAGCAAATGCAAAGGCAAGGAACTGTGAAGAGGAAGGTGTGGAGCATCTGAGTCAGCCAGAGGTGAGGAATGAGGCTGCGGAGAGGCCAGATCCCTCCAGCAATGGGGAGCTATCGACAATTCTAGAGAGGAGTCACAGAGTCACTCTTGCCTTCTTGGCTCAAAGTTTAGGAAGGATGGGCCCAGGAGTGCTTGAGCGGCCAGATGAAGGGAAGAGGGAGGCTGGATCCAAATGCTTGGCAAGACTTGGGAAGACAGCGTGAGACTGCCTTCCAGGAGCCTTCTGGCCCCGATCTGCTGAACTGCCCCACCCTATCCCACCATCAGGGTCTGCCCGGTCTTGTCAAGAGCCTCACAGGACACAGTGCTGGTTGCTCGATGTGTTCAGTGCTTTATTGAGATGAGGCCCTAACAGATGACTCTTTCAGGCCTTCGAGCACAGCCCTCCCACATCCTGAGGTTAAGAAGTCAGAGGTGGCTCTGTCCTTGGTTTAGCTGCTTCCATCACATCTCCTCTTCAGTATTTCCAAACTTTAAACTGTAAAGACTTTGTTCAGACAGACAGACACACATACACTTCTACCACAACCTGGCATGCTCACTGAAATGATTCCATTCAGCAGTTTGTAGTTGCAAGGCATTGTGCATCTACAGCATCCATCCATTCATCCATCCATCTGTTCATCCACAAGACAGCAGTGAGTTCTGACAAGTCAGGCCCCAGGGTTCACAGCAGCTGGGGCTGGGATTCCAGTGAGGTTACGGATGCAGGCTTTAACCCTCGCCCAGGGGCCCCCCCGTATAATCACAGCCCTTTCTGAGACAACAGAAGACAGACCAAGTCGCTAATTAAGGTTTGAGTTCTAACCCCAACTGGACAGGGGGACCTAATGAGTAACTTCGGGTTGGGGCAGGGCTCCCTTCTTCTCTTAGGGTGACTGCCTGACCACCTGTGAATGTCCTGAGATGGGCAAAAGAAATCAGACACACAAACCAAGCATGCAGGTAACACTGAAACAGAAAGAGTAAGAGCTTATGTTTGTGCTGCAGGTGCACATAAGGAGGGACAGGAAAGAGGGGACAAGAAAGGGGGACACTCTGACACACATGGACTGCCGTGAGGGCCAGGGCACAGTGCTGACTCCCAGCGCTGGGAGGAGTGTGGCTCTGGCCTGTCTCGGGGGCTGTGGCTTTCCCCCAGCTTCATACATACAAACAAAGTCCCTAGAAAAATGGGAGCTCTTCTGGACACGGGAAGACAAAGAGTTAACCCCAACAAGGAAGGAAAAAAAGCAAAAAGTTCCCGCTGGACACAAAATACTTCCTCTGAGTTGGACTTACTCCAATTTCACTAAGTCAACAGCATGGGTTCTTCCAGGGGCTGGGGTGTCGGCAGGGGACAGCACCAGGATATGGAGTACGGCTGGAGTGAGACAAGGGGGTCGGGGCTGGGGGCAGATGGACAGGACACCCTCACTGTCTTTCCCTGGACAGTACCTGGGGCCCCCAGCAGACCCTCAGGCCTACAGGCCCCTGGGCGGCTGGTGCCCAGGCTGCCCGGGGCCATGAAGGTGGGCAAGTCCATGGCTGGCCTCTCACTGGTCCTGCAGGCGGTTGCAGAGCTCCCTCCGGCTCCGCTCCCCAGTCCAGCTGCGCGTCTTGAGGCGGAAGGTCTTCAGCTTGTCCTTGAAGGCCTCGTGGTTCATGGGTCGATAGTCCTGAGGCTCACAGAAGGTCTAGGGCAGGATGGGAGGCGTCAATCAACATGGGGGAATGGATAACTTCGGGTGCGGGGGGTGGGGGGGCAGTCCTCCCTGCTTCTCTCAGGGTGATGCCCAGCCGAGCACCTTCCTGGCAGTCCAGCCCTCCCATGGAGGCAGTGGCCACCCCCGCCGGTGGTACCGGGTGCTGTGGGAAGAATTCCTTGTAGCCGCCTTTGAGGATGTACATCTCGGGATAGTGGAGGCTGGGGTAGACGTTGATGGCCCGATCTCGTTCCCTGATGAAACGGCACCTGGGGCCAACAGGGGTGTGAGGATCAGAGCTGGGCGTGCAACAAGTGGGGCACCCGCGCGCACTCCTTCGAGGGCCCGGAGGACCACGGGAGGCGCGAGTGCAGACACGTTCTGACCAGTCTGGCCACTGGGCACAGAAGAGGCTGGGGAGCTGGAAGGAAGGAGGAAAATCAAGGGGACCTCTCTATTTCTAGAAGGCAGTTGCAGAATCTCTTTTAGTGATATGTGAGGGCCTGGACCTGGGCAGGGGAAGCAGAACTAGAGAGGCTGACAAACTCCAGAGCTGCATTGAGGAGGTCTGGACAAGACTTGGTGAGGGGAAAGAGGTGAGTAAAAGAAAGGACATCTGAACACTAGAAGGGTCATTGTCACTGAGGACTGGGACTGGACCCTTGGATTTTAAGGACACTGCTGAAGGCCTGAAACCAGATTTTCAAGTGGGGGTGGTAGTAATGGATGGGGGGTGAGGCCTGGTGGAAAGGACAGTAGGGAGGAGACAGGAGGAGGGTGCTATGCCCAAGGAAGCAGGGGTGAGGTCTGCTCCAGGAGATCAGATGGGACAAGAGGCCCAGGCCAAGGAGGACTGGGCTCAGGGCTCTCGGCCATAGGCTGGCTCTGGCACCCACAAGCTTGGGTGGAGCTGGGACTCACATGCGGGGCCCACGCTCAGATGAGAATTCACAGTGGAAAATGAGGATGATTCTCTTGTCCAGGCCATGGGCCATGATGGGGCTCTGCAGCAGGAAGATCTCGGCGTCCTGTTCCAGGGGCAGGTTCACGGCAGTCTGCCAGAATAGCTGGAGATCAGGCCACAGCCCTGGGCCTGGGCGGCGGACCCCTCCCCTAAGCAGTTCCTATCTTTCTAATGGGTATTAGAAAGATACCTTTTGCTGGGCAGGACCCTTCCCCACAAGAGGGCGCCCCCACCAAGGAAGGATGGAACTGGTGGGTCTTTAGCATCTCTCGTCACCCTGTCTCACCTTGATGTGCCCGCCTTCATATTCATAGGGGTATCTGCAGTCCACAATCACAAACTTCTCCACGATATTGCTGAACTTGCCCATCAGCAGGGCCACCACCTGTAGGAGGCCACGGGGTTAGGTCCCAGCAGGTCAGGCTGGCAGGCCGGGGCTGACCCCTAACCCTGACCTACGCTGCCCAGTGCTTGCAGCCTATTTCCAGGGAGGTCTAACACGCACATACCGTTTCCGGTGAGATGTACTTGAGGTCTTGGTGCTTTCCATCCACAGTCTGTAGGAGGAAGGCCTAAAGGGAAGTAGGGAGAGAGAGACTGAGAAAAAGGAACAAAGTGAAATGGGCAAGATGCAGTGCATGGGAAGGATGGAGTTTCTTTCCCAAGCCCAGAGGCCACACCTGACTTGACCTTCAAATTCAGCTCTGATTCCCATAGCAACCGAGAGGCACCTCTTGGGTCTGAAACCCTGGGAAAACCTTCCAAGGGGAAATGAAGGGGAGCAGAAGCGATGGACTCCTGCCTCCTGCCCCCAGCTCTGCCAGTCTTGGGGATGAGGCTTGAGGAGGATCAAGCTAGATGTTAGTTCGGAAATGTTTTCCAAGGTGGACACACCACCCGATGTCCGGACACATGTGAGAGAGTCGAAGGCCAAGGAGAGCCAGAGAGATGAGTCTAGGTGAGAATAAAGGGTAACAAAATGCAAAGGACAAAGCAAAGGGGCCTCTGGGGAGAGAGGGCAGCACTGAAGCAGCTGCTGGGCTCGGGGAACACAGTCAGTCAGGGGTGGAGCGTGAGGGTCTTGCCAGCCAGTACCTTGGAGTAATCTCCAATCAGTTCACGGTGGTCGCTGTCCAGGATGTTCTCAATCTCGTCATGACACAAGGACTTGGAGCGGAGGACACGGGCCTTCTGTGAGACAGACGGCAGCCAGGGTCAGGGGGGAGGCTGTCCCTCCATGCCCAGTTTGGCTGGTACCCCGCCCCTGCCTGCACACTGGCTGAGAAGGGCACTCACAGGTTCCTCAGCCTCCTGCTGCTCCTCCAGAGGGGTCACGCTTCTCCTCCGCTTGTTCTGTATGGGCAGGTCCCTGTCCTGGGGCCGCTCCAGCCTCTTGAGGATGGGCCGGATTACGCTGCAGGGCATGGACGGAGAGCGGAAGAGCCGCTGGCACTTGCTGTACATGATGAGGTCCTGGCAAGGGCGGTGGGTTGGGGATCAGAGTGCTCAGCTCCTGCTCTCCCCGCAATCACACCTGGAGGGTAGGGCCCCACCCTCCAAGTTCTCAGGGGGCCACCCCAGAAGCTCACCTGTTCCTCTTCCTTTTCTGAATTCTTGACCAGTGGGGCACTAATGAGGCTCTCCATGCCTGGGGGTACTGAATCATCATCCTGAGGCCAAAGCAACAAAAATATGGTGGTACCCACAGGCACAAGCCAAACTCCTCAAGCCACAGTCCGTCTCTGTTCTCCTAGCACCTCCGCATAGGGCAGCCCCCCAGAGCCAGGAGATGGCAGGGATCCCTCACTGCTGAGACTTGCACAGAGCCACGAGAAGCAGGAGCACCTTCCCTCTGCCCTGTCCATCCTCCCCGCACTGCAGCACCAGCCACCTGCTCTTCTCTGATTGGCCAGAGGTCAAGCTGTGACTCAGCTACTCCCAATTCTTCTCCTAACATTGGAGTAAGACCATAGTCTTGCTGCAGGAGCTCAGAGCTCTCCTCTTTGGGAGATCCCAGGGAGGGAGGGCCCCCGGGTAGGGGGCCCGATGGAGCAAGGCTGCTTACCTTTAAGTCATGCTCCAGGATGTCCACAAACCCATCGTCTTCGTCAGGAGCCCCTTTGGTGGGGGTCAGGGAGAAACGTTGAGCCAGGGGACTCAGCTCCTCCACCTCCATCTTCTGCTCGGGAGCGAGACACTTGGGTGGGTGAAGAACAGATGCAGACCACTCAGGGGTGGGGAGCGGAGGCAGTCCCTACCTGTATCCTTCTGAGAAAAGGTCCCCCCACCTCAGGCTCTGAATCATCCTCCCATTCCCCGGCTGCCTTTGGGGTCACCCGCCCTGTGGGCATGCCTGCCCTGCAAGGCTCTCCTGATGTACCATCAGGTTGGGGGCTGAGCTTGGCCTCTGGGCAAAGGCTTCTCTGCGGCTGGCCCACTCAGCCAGAGCATGGGCATGGCTGGGATGTGTGGGCACCTGTGGCATCTTGAAGACAAATCCATCCTGTGGGCAAGGTGGGGGCAGTGAGTGGGTGGGCATCGTCAAATGCCAGAGAACCACCCAGCACCGCCCCCGCCCCCGCCCCCCTTCTCTCCCTGAAGTGTTTCCACTCTGGCCTGCAGGAAGCGCACATTCTCTTTGTCCTCCCCAGAGGTGTGGGCAGGCTGGCCACGCTCCTTGCTCTTCCTCCAGCTGCCAGGCACTTGGGAGTTGGTGATGTTTCGCAGCACAGGGCTATGGCCCAGAAGCCTCACCTAGAGAGCCAGGAGGGCAGCAGATACTGAAAGCTATATTTCTCTGGTACCAGCCGAGGTCCTACCTTCTCCCATCCCTCCCCTGAATCCCCCTGCTCGCCCATCCGCCTCCTAAACCCCATTTCCCACGGCCAGACAACTGACACCAAATATACCCTCTGGGAGTTGAGCCCCACAGCCCTCCTGCCCTTCCCCAGTCCTGGCCAGTGTGCCTGAGCTTCCTGTCAGGCCTCAGAGGGCACTCACCGGCAAGGACTGGAAGCGTCGGATGGTAAGCTGCTTGCTGCAAAGGAAACAGGGACATGTCAGGGCTACAGAGTCCAGGACCATAATGAAGAGCATGCAGGATGCCTCTCCACCAGAGCCCCGTGCACCTCCCCCCAAGGGAGGGCCTGGGAGAGTACCCACCCCATGCCAATGGTGGGCAGGGGACAGAGGTAGCCTGTGGTGGGTAGAACACCAGAGCTTGCGAGAGGAAGTCCAAGCACTTACTTTTGAATTAACCGGCTAGCTGCCTGGATGGCCTGTTCAAACCTAGGAGAAAGCAGAGTCAGTCTCATGCAGTCCACCTCCCGCTACAGCCCATCACCTGCCACCAGCATCAGATCCCCAGTCCACAAGCCCTGGGGACAAGGGCCAAGGACAGTGGAAAGGGGAAGCAGGAAGAATGTCAGCCATCTGGGGACCCACGTGTTGGGGAGGGGGAAGATGAGAGGCAGCCTGGGATTTTAAAGGCTGCCCTGGATGGAAGAGGGCCCAGAGAATGGCAGTAAATGGGAGACAGCTGGGGTAGGTCGAGGGTGGCTGAGCGTTACCCAGACAACGTTCACGCCAGCTTGCCCCACAGGCCTTCCACCTGTATGCAAATCACCTCATGGGGCCATTCGGCCACCAGGAAAGGCATTCATCCATCCCTGGGTGACAGCCTTGGCCAACAATGTGGGTGTCTCCAGGGCCTGGATGCCAGCAAGGCTGGGCTTCCCTCCCCTTGTGTGGGGCCATCCTGGCTCCCTCCAGGACGGGGGCCTGGTTTAGTGTGCCCCTGGATCAGCCAGCGTCTGCCATGCCACACCTCCTAGTGACTAGTGTGTAGGGTCACATTCTCTTTTCCCTCCTGTGGAATTTTTCAGGACCCAGCCTCTGTCCCACCCACTCCTCTTGCCTTAGGAGAGGCCAGCAGGCAAGGGATTCCAACAGATGTTCCTTTTGAGGCTAGAGCACAAGCCTCTGTAGATAGGCCCCACCCCCCTAGCTGTGTTACCAGAGACCACCTGCCACACGGGGCTTTGTGCATCTGTGCGTACACACACACACATACAAGCTTCTTTCTGAGAAGCTGTATAACCGTCACCACAGGTGTGGGGGGTGGGGGGGCACTGAGGAGTAAAGTATCAAGGGGTTGGCCCCAAGGTATATGTGTGGGGGTGGCTGTACCCAGCCAACCTGGCATCAGGACTGACCAATATCATTGTTTTGGTTTCCAATCTGCACCTGGGCCTTGGGGGTGAAGCAGGCACAGCTCTGCGTTGCCACCAAAACCTAACTTTGGTCCCTCCACCCCAATTCTCTCCCCATTTCCTGTTTGTGAACAAACCCTGCAGCCCAGCCCAGTCTGATCAAAGGCGGTGGGAGGAAAGACAGTCACTGCCCTAAACCCAAAGCCATAGTGGCCCCCCCCCGCCCAGGCTGGGGATGCCCAGCTGTTCTCACTAACGCCTGGCAGCTGCCCTCCCTGCTGAGGCTCGAACAGCTGGATGGGAACAGCTGTGTTCTGGAAGGTACTACTCCTGCCCTACAACCAAGGTGGTGGGACATGTCCCGAGCAGAGCCCACCAGACCGCTCTCTAGGCCTTCTCACAAAGGGCCTGGTCCGGGGTGGCCCAGAGGGTCAAGTGTCATGAGAGGTTGCGGATAGGATGGCTGCAGGCTACAGCAGCCTGCAGCAACTGTTCTGTTTGGCCTACAGTAGTACGAGTTTTGAATTAGGACCCTATGTTAAAAGTATGATATTTCACCAAAAAGACAAAATGTGTATAGGCAGAAAGGAAAATGGGACACATACCAGGCCTCTATTCTCATAAGGGCTGGCCGGCATCAAGTATCTGCTGCTCCCAGAGGCCTCCGTTCCCGCCACCCTGGCCCCGAGCCCACTCTCAGCTGCTCCTGTGAGGGCAGACCCTTCTCCAAGACAGGGAGCAGAATCCCAGAACTTCAGGTCAATTAGTTCCCCCACATGGAGATCTGGAGGGGTCTGTGTACTCTCCCAGGCTACCCCAGTGAGTTTACACTACAGCTGGGATTCCCAAAGGCAGATGCCAACTCCTCAGTAATAGGGAATCCCTCTTCTCTACTCACGTCTGCTCCGCCATCTGGGGGTCCATGGGGCTGGGGGAATCCATGCAGAGACCTGAGGGGACAGAGTGCTTTGGTTTAAAAGTAGTGCCATTTTCTGCACTCCCCTCCCCCACCATGTTCCAGCTCTACTCAGAGAAGGGGTGGGGGGGGGGAGTTTCTATTTCATATCTTGACATATTTAAAAGTGAAGAAAAACCCTCCCTTCCATGGACCCCAAGGACTGACACCAGCTCCCAAATGCCCAGAGCTCCACTTCCCATTTACTATGGAAACGCCTCTACACAGTTTGAAAACCAAAACTGCTAAGCATTTTTCATGAACTGGTTTAAGATAATTTGTTCTAGAAGAGATGGCAGCTTTTTTTAGAGGGAAATATAGCTGAGGATCAAAGTGAGATAAATAATCCGCTTTCAACTCTAATGCCTCCCAGGCAGGGCTGTGGTTCAGGAGCTTTGGTTTTAAGTAGGTGAGACCTTATCCCCTGCAGAGGGCCCCGCCCAGCCACCAGCCCTGCCATTCTGGGCTGGATGTGGTGAGCCCCACCATAGGTATACAGGGGGACGCTTCTCAGGCCCCCAGGTTGTTGGAAGGATGTTACTCTGATTGGCAAGTAAATGGGCAGGCTCAGGCTGCCCCCCCTCCCCCAAACTCCCCTGGGCCTCACCTGCATCAGAAGATTCAGAGGACTCAGACGACAGAGAGGATGCAGATGCTCGCCGAGGAGACAGGGATAGGCATGTGAGCAGGCTGCCTACCTGACTCTTTGGGCTCTCCCTGGGAAGGGAGCAGGGACCCAGAGAAGCAAAAAAGTAAATGTGGGGTTCAAGGGCTGGCTGGCCCATGTTCCCATCAGCCACCCACTTCTGTAGGGCCCACCCAGCTTCTGCCTGCCCCAAGGGAGGTGATGACATGGAAGCCCTCTTCTCAGGCCAAGGCAGCCTCCTTCTACTGAGGCCCTAAGTGTCTTCTCTTTGTTGATTGGTTTAAGATCCTCCTGGGTACAAGGGGAGGTGAGCCCAAGAAAAAAGGAAGAAGCCAGGCTGGGGAACATCCTGGGGGATGGTGGGGCAGCTGAACAGCCCTGGAGGGCCTTTAGGCTCCTACCCATCCACAAGCCTTCCTGGAGGAAGGGCCAAGGTTTGAGTTTCCGTTCCTGGGAGGACAACCCAGCCTGGACCCTGCAGGCTAGCTCAGGGAGTAGGACCAGCATTCAACCCTTTAACCCCAGGAAAGAACTAGGGGAAGAGGGAGCAGAGGCAATGGACAGAGAACTGGACTGCTCTGCCACCCTCAAATTCCCCCTCCAGGTTCATGATCCCCTGCTTGGGGCAAAATGGTGGCGATTTGGACAGAAATTAGGGAGGCAGCATGGTGGAGGCACACTGAGAAAGGAAGAGGAGGGGAAAAAAGAGGGTCTTCAGAGTCTTGTGCTGGCCAAGAGCAGGTCTGGAGACTCACACCTGGAGAGTGTGAGCGGCACAGTCCTGGCCTCACCGCCCTTGTCCCCGGCCCCCAAAGCAGGCTCTGCCCGGGATGCCTCCCCACTACGCTTCTCGGATTCGGATCCCGTGTCGGGGTCCCCAAGAGGCCCATGTCCAACACCCTAGTGTCGACTTCTCAACCCACACCCAGCCTCCTTAGGGTGCCCTACCTGCCAAGCCCGGCGAGGTCGTGCATGGTCTGGGTGAGGGTGGCGACAGGCGAGGAAGTGGCCGCGCGCTCCGGGGACCCCAGGAAGCCAGGAGCTCCAAGCCGGAGGCCCGGAAGGTGGCTCGGACGCACGGCGCCACCGCGCACGCTCCCCGGACTGAGAGCCGGGCTCCGTGCGGTGGTGTCCGGCTGGGGCAGCTCCATCGTGGCGGGGCCCGCAGAGGCTGTCCGCACGACCGGGGAGCCGGGAGACCCACAGACACTGGGCACGGCTATTCAGGACCAGGTGGGGAGCGGGCCGGGATGGAGGTGGGGGGGAAGGGAGGAAGAGCCACGGGGCCGGAACGAGGGAGGAGAGGGAAGCGGGGAGGGTGGGGAGGGGGATGGAGGGATGTGGGGACCAGCCACTAGTACGGGAAGCCTCTAGCAACAGCTGCCACCTCTACCTCCTTATATATTCGAAAAATAACAGCGGCCGCGCCGCCGGACGCCACCAATGGAGGCTCGGGTTACAGGAAGGCGGGACTGAGGGCGGGGCCCGGCTGGTTTAGCATCAGCGCCTTTCACCCCGTGGACCACGCCCTCAGCTAGACCAACCCGGCCCCGCCCATTTCCAGGCTTCGGGTGAAGCCGGGAAATTGGGGTTTCTCCCACGCCCCACCCTCCGTACCCCACCCCCACAAGCGAGGGGGCCTGATAATCCTGGTTCCCCAAAGTCCGCTTTTCCGGGTGTGGTTTGGAGTTATGCACCCCCAGGGGAGAGAGCCCCAGGGGAACCAACATCCTCTAGGTTGGCCTCAAGAGGAACCCCCGCGGTTTAATATCAATTCCAAGCCCAGGTAGGCACTGTGAGAAGCACCGCTCCAGGAGTTTGCCAAACTCAGTTGCACTATGCGGTGTGTTCACCGCTTTACAGAAGGGGACGTTGAGGCGTGGAGAACAAGTTCATTAACTCTTTTAAGGTTACACGGTTTGGCAAGTGGTGGAGCTGATTCTCCCCAGGCACCTCCGCTTGTGCAGCTTCCCTACCCCATCCCCTTCCCGATAGGCGGCCCCAAAGCTAATTCCCACCAGGAGCCCCAGCGCAGGAAGGGGACTCACAGTGGGGGCCAGTGGGTAAGTGATGGGTGCTTCTGGGGTCCCCAGGTTAGATGTGACACCAAGGGGTCCAGTTTTCCCCTGGCTGCCCCAGAGGAGGCTCTAATGCAGGGGTGTCAGACTCATTTTCACTGGGGGCCACATCAGCCTCGAGGTTGCCTTCAAACGGCCGCATGTAATTTTAGGGCTGTATAAATGTTAACTACACCTTAACAGTTAAGCTAGAGCTCAGTGCTGCTGCTGGTTAGAAACAAGGTGCCCACCGGGTAAAACGAGGTGGGGGGCCGGATTCAGCTGGGGGCCTGGTGTTTGCCACCTGTGCTCTAATGTTTGGCCTGGCCATTGGTCTTGGCGGTGAGAGCTGAGGAGGGTGTGGATGACCTCAAAACCCAGTTAGGGAAGTATTTCCGGCCCACTGACAGTTTGGCTAATGTGGTGCCAATGGGCAGCGAATTGTTTAACTGGTGCTTCTTTGATGATCTCAGAGGCTGAATTTGTTACTAGATTAAAATGAGCATCTTCTAATTATCTAATCACCTTCCAGCCAGCCCTCTTTTCTGCAACAAGGCTGGAAGGCTGTACCCCAAATTGCGTGAGTGGTAAGCAAGCAGCTTTTACATCCTTTCTTCGCAGGGCAGAGGTGCTCTCTGGCTGAGAGGGGCACAGCTGGGGACAGCAGGACTTGCAGCCTTGTGCCCCTTTCCGCTGCAACCATCGGACCATGTCGTGAAAATGGAGGGCCTGGCTGTGGGGGTTTGGGCTGGCCTGGGGACCGACATGTAGAGGGAGGGGATGGGAAGACCCCAGTCCCACCTCAGAGGGATGACCTGGGTGGGGGTCGTGACTTTTCCTTTCTCAGTGTTTTGCCCAGCTCCTGTGCTGTGCCAGGACCGTGGAAAGAAATGAATGACCGGGCACCGATTGTGCACATCAGGCGCTGGGCTGGGTGAGGGGTCTGCTGTGACCCTGGAGCATTGCCTGTGGGACAAAAAATTAACTCGTGCTTATACAATCCTTCCACTTCTCTAAGCTTGCTCCCAAATAGCATCTTTTGTGTGTGTGTGAGAGTGGGGGGGGGCTATTTTTTCTGCTATTTTTTTGTTATGGACTGACATGTGCAATGTTTTTAAAACATTGGTACATGGTACCAAAAATTCAGACAAAGGAGAAAATTCAAAGAGTACACGAAGTTAGTGAAAATCCAACCTCCCACCCCACACAAACTGTCAGGACCCCTCCTCAGAGGCAGCCACTATCCTAAGTTTGTTGCATCATCTGTAACGGTCCAGGCCAATAAAAACACAACGAAGGGCGCAAATATGAGCCACCTGTGTAATTTAACTTTTTAGTAGCCACATTAAAAAAATAAAAAGAAACATAAAACATTTTATGATTTTACTTAACCTAATGTATTCAAAATATCATTTCAACATACTGTTACTAACATAACAATTATTAATAATATATACTTATATACTTTTTTCTGGTACCAAGTCTATTGCACATTTTATATCACAGCACATCTCAACTTAGATGTGCCACATTTCAAGCGTTTGACAACCACATCGGGGATCAGTGGCTACAAGAGTGAACAGGGCAGGTCTACACATTTACAAGCAGACATGTGTCCCTCTTATAAATACACAAACAGAATATGAAACGTTATTTTATGCCTTGCTTTCTCTATTTCACTGGAACATAGATCCATATTAGTGCCATAATGGTATATATTTCCTGAATTCCCTAATGCTAAACACTTAGGTTATTAGCTTTTGCAAGGATGCAGAAGGTATGCATTGAATGAACAACTAAAGAGCAACTGCTGGAAGGTATGGGTTTTATTCATTGAAATCTCCTCTTCCCTTTTCTCAATCTCATCTCCTCAAACTGACTGAGTTATTGAAGAGCAGGGACCATATCATTTCCCTCTCCACCCTTGTCCCAGCACTTCAGATGGGCCCAGCCACAGGTTGGCTTCTGACCCCAATATTCTACTTCTAGAGATTTCTCTTAAGGATATGATGAAAGTACAAACAGATGTATATTCATTGAGTCATTTTTAATAACAATGAAACATGGAGCATAAGCTGGGTGTTCTGCAACATGGGAACAGCCAATGAGGGTGTAATACCCCGTGTATAGTCTGCAGCTTTTAAAGAGAACAGGTACTGGGGGGTAAGGATGCCTGGCACCTGCCTGGGGCCCAATAAGTAACTGTTGATTATTTAATGATTACATAGTGGGCTCTTGGAAAATGGACCTTTGAAGAAAGGATTCCTAAAGTAAAAGAAGTTTGAACTGATGTAGATACTTACTGACATGAAAAGATATTTACAATATTGACTACAAAATATTATGCTAGTGTGGCCCTATTAAAAATAATGAAAGAGCCCTGGCTGGTGTGGCTCGGTGGACTGAGTGCCACCCTGTGAACCAAAGGGTCACTGGTTTGATTCCCAGGCAGGGCACATGTCTGGGTTGCAGGCCAGGTCCCCAGTGGGGGGTGCACCACAGGCAACCACCCATTGATGTTTCTCTCCCTCTCTTTCTCCCTCCCCTCCCCTCTGTCTAAAAATAAATAAATAAAATCTTTTAAAAATAATGAAAGAAAACTTCCTGCCCTGGCTGGTGTGGCTCAGTGGACTGAGCACTGGCCTGTGAACCAAAGGGTTGCTGGTTCAATTCCCAGGTAGAGGGTGTGTGAGAGGCAACCAACCACACATGGCAGTTTCTCTCCCTCTTTCTCCCTCTCTTCCCCTCTTTCTAAAAATAAATAAATAAAATCTTCTTTAAAAATTAAAAAAATAAAAAAAAAGAAAGAAAACTTCCCTAAAATGATGAAGAAAATAGACATGCAAGTCTAGGAAGCACAGAGTCCCAAACAAGATGCAAAGAGGCCCACTACAAGACACATCATAATTTAAATGCCAAAGGTTAAAGATAAAGGGAGAATCTTAAAAGCAGCAAGAGAAAAGCAGTTACCTACAGAAGAGTTCCCATAAGACTGTCAGCTGATTTCTCAGAAGAAACTTTCAGGCTAGTGGAGACTGGCAAGAAGTATTCAAAGTGATGAAAAGCAAGGACCTACAGCCTAGATTACTCTCTCCAGCAAAACTATCATTTAGAATGGAAGGGCAGATAAAGTGTCACCCAGACAAGAAAAAACTAAAAGAGTTCATCATCACTAAGACATTATTATATGAAATGTTAAAGGGACTTATTTAAGAAAAAGATCTAAACTATGAACAATATAATGGCAATAAATACATACCTATCAACAATTAAATGTAAAAAATAAACTAAGCAAACAAAGAACAGAGACAGAATCATGGACACAGAGAGCGTTTGATGGTTGCCAGATGGGAGGGGGATATGGGAGAATGGGTGAAGAGGTGAGGGGATTAAGAAGCACAAATAGGTAGTTACAGAATAGCCACAGGGCTGCAACGTACAGTGTGGGAATGAAGTAGCCAAAGAATTTATACGTTCCTGACTCATGGGCATGAACAATAGTGTGGGGATTGCCTGAGGGAGTGGGGATTTCTGGGTGGAGGGGAGCAAAGAGGGTAGAAGTGGGACAACTGTAATAGCATAATCAATAAAATATAATTAAAAACAAAATAAAAATAAAAGCAAAAATAAAAATAAAATAACAAAATGCACAGAAAAGTATCATTTAAATTAAAGGTGATTAAATGTTTTTATCTTAAAAAATTTCTATATTTTAAAATATTTCCCAAAGAATGGGTATCACTTTTACTTATTTTATTTTTTAAAAAGACTTTATTTATTTTTGTCTAAAGAGGGGAAAGGAGAGAGAGAAATATCCAACATGTGAAAGAAAAACTGATTAGTTGCCTCTCACACCCCCCAACTGGGGACCCCCAGCCAGCAACCCAGGATTGTGCCCTGACTGGGAATGGAACCTGCGACCTTTTGGTTCTTGGGCCGGCACTCAGTCCGCTGAGCCATACCAGCCAGGGCAAGAATGCATATAATCTTTAGATTAACTACAAAAACATGATCTCAATCTGGCAGTTCCTTAAACAAATAAATATAGAGTTACCATAAGATCCAGCAATTCCACTCCTAGGCATAACCCAACAAAAATGAAAATGTATGTCCACACAAAAACTTGCAAACAAATGTTTATAGCAGCATTATTCATGTTCCTAAAATGTGTAAGTAACTCAAATGTCTACCAACTGATAATTGTACAAACAAAATGTGATACCCATACAATAGAACAGGATTCAGTCATCAAAAATGAAGTACTGATCAAT